TATATATATATATATATATATATATATATACAAATTTTACGGCGTGACTAAGACTATCAGAATTACTGGTTGTTCGTGAACGGCTCTTGTTCGACTCGCTAAGCAAACGAGCCGAACATGAACAAATTTTTTTAGCTCGATATATAAACAAGTTAGTTACAACAATGATATTTTTTAACGAGTCAAACAAAAACAAAGCTAGGCTCGCTCAAGTTCGACTCGTTTTGCTTAGGAATAATTCAGAAGGCAAAGAGGAATTCTGTAAGCAGTCTAATAAGCCTAACCAACTAACATTGTCATGTATAAGATCAATATCTGATGATTTGAAAAGCATTAAAGCTAGTTGCTACAGCTGATTTACCGATTGGATTTTGTGGGATCTACTTTCAAGTTTGGTTAGCACTTTGATTTTAATTTAAATAAGTAAAACTTGATCCAAATGTTTAATGATACATGAATCAATGGCACAATATTAATGCATATCTACTCATTGGCCTAGTTGAGCATTCAAATCAACACAAGTAAAATGAAGAAACCCTACCATCTCAAGTTTAGGCAAATATTTGCTATCTAAGGGTAGGAAGTATGCTAAAAAATCAAATCTCTGTCATTCAATCCTAACGTATCCTTTCAACCACTACCATATATATGAGGCGGCGGTGTGGTGGTGGTATGACCGACATCATAATTTTATGTATTTGGGTAAACTATGTTTTGACCGTTTTTTCATAAGTTGTAACTGAAATCTGCGTTTTCCCACCACTTTTGATTAGATGCGATTGACAACTTTTTAGTTATGGAATGATTAAAAAAATATATTGTAATAGCTATGACAACCTTTGAGCAACAAATTATTATTCAGCAACTCCAAAACTGTCTTTTAATAATCTTACCTCAAATAGACTCTCAGTGACGACTTTGTTTACATGTGCTTGAATTTATTCTTATTTGTGCATGTATGGCCATAAAAGACTTCAGGAAATACTAATGATAAGGGCTCTTTAAATTATGCATCAAAATTATATATTTTGTTTTTATTTAGTGAATAAGATCCTCTTTTTCTCTTGTTACATGCTGCACTTTATAATTGTTGTAGATAAAATAAAATTTCAACAATATCAAAACGGGTGGTCCGCCAAATTGAGTTGTTTAATGGGTTCGTTAAGGGTTTTATCAGGTTAGGGTTTTAGATTGTCGTTGGACGCGATCTTCAACCTCCTCGCCAGTCGACGATGGGCAGAACCAGCATCCTCTCCTCCCTCCGCCGCGCGGCGAGTCAGAGAAGCGATGCCCCTTCTCCAGCCATCGCCATATTTTTCATTGACGATGCAGCCTGCCTTGGCCGGCGGGGGTACTCAACTGCGAGCATGGCCCGTGCTAAGGAGGAGAAGGAGGCTTGGTGGAAGGAGACGTTGGATAAGGTGAGGAACATCGGGATTTCGGCTCACATCGACTCCGGCAAGACCACGCTTACTGAGAGGATTCTCTTCTACACCGGTCGCATCCACGAGATACACGAGGTGAGAGGTCGGGATGGTGTTGGTGCCAAGATGGATTCCATGGACCTCGAGCGGGAGAAGGGGATAACCATCCAGTCAGCTGCTACTTACTGCACCTGGAAAGATTATCAGGTCTGTAAAAATTGCATTTTTTTTCTCTTTTTTATGATGCTGAATCCAGAATTATGGTCTTTATGCTCGGTTTGATGGTTGAAGGTTAATATAATTGATACCCCGGGTCATGTGGACTTTACTATTGAGGTTGAGAGAGCTCTTCGTGTTCTTGATGGTGCCATACTCGTCCTTTGCAGCGTGGGCGGCGTTCAGAGTCAGTCTATAACAGTTGATCGCCAGATGAGGAGGTATGAGGTTCCAAGGCTTGCTTTTATCAATAAGTTAGATCGAATGGGAGCAGATCCGTGGAAAGTTCTGAATCAGGTGAGAGTATGACACGAATTTAAAAGCGCAGTCTTAAATGCAGATTTTATCTATTTAGTTTTTATGCTAGCCTTTGGCTTCTGATCATATGAAAATCCTGATGTGGCATCTGCTTTCATTTTTTTCTGAAGGAAATTTGTTGAATTATTATTTTGTTGCAATTGGACAACACACATTATATTGCCAGAAAATAGATTTTAGTTTCCCGTCTAATTTCTTTTTTGGTGAAAATTCATGTGTGCTTAAGTTTTAAAAAATGAAGACAGTTGGTTAGATACTGAAAACCATTAGTAAGAAACATGAAAAATCATGTTTAGAAATATAATACTTCTGTACGTAGGAGTAATCCATGGTAGATTGGCATTTGCTCATTCTACCATGTAACATGGCTTTAATTTCACTCTATTTGTAATTCAGAAGACATTTGAGTCATGAGGTCCTGATGCAGATATAATTTTTTTCAGGCAAGATCCAAGCTTCGGCACCATTCTGCAGCAGTTCAAGTTCCAATTGGATTGGAAGAGGAGTTTCAGGGCCTTGTGGATCTTGTTGAAATGAAAGCTTATTATTTTCATGGATCCAATGGGTATGTTATAGCGTGAGCACAGATCATTTATGTTTACCTGCTTGAGTGGTTTTAATTCTGATACCTCAAATATCATTAGATTCAGATTTAACATTTTTGTTTTCTTTGCAGTGAGAATATTGTTACATCTGATGTCCCTTCAGATATTGAGGCATTGGTCGCAGAAAAGAGACGCGAACTTATAGAAGTTGTTTCTGAAGTTGATGATCAACTTGCTGAGTCTTTTCTTAATGATGAGTCTATATCATCAGATGATCTCAAGGTGTTTTGAAAACATATTTATAAACTAACTTCTTAGAAACTTTTATACATAGATGTTTTTTTTTAAATTTGTATTATGGTGTATATTATAGGGCATATAGAGGGAATTTATTTAAATTGACCTTTCTTCTACAGGGTTTATTTTTATTATTATTATTGTTTTTTTCTATTTAACACTGCCGTAGTGTATGACGTTAGTTTTTATATGCTTATATAGGCATTTGTAGTTCCATGTATTTCTATGAGTGATGTTTTTTTATTGCATTTTCTTACCTTGTACATCTGATTTGAAGATAAGAGACTTGCTTCATATATGTTTTTGGTTACCTTATCTTAGGGTGTTATAACTTAATTGAACTTCATATTTATATACTTGTAAATGCTTTTTAAAATTTCCTTCTATGATCCTCCAATATTTTTGTCTTTTTATGTCCATGAAACTAATGAAACTAATATTAGGATAGGATCTTGGAATATAGGTACTCTCAATGGTAAATTAATGAAATTAGTTGATATTATGATTCATAGGAAAATTAATATCTTATGTATTCAAGAAATTAAGTGGGCTGGAGAAAAGGCTAAGTAGATAGATAATTTAGGTTGTAAACATTGGTATTCTGGTAAGAGTCACACTAGAAATGGTGTAGGTGTAATTACAGATAAGAGTTTGAAAGATAATGTTGTAAAAATTAATAGAGTTGGTGATAGAATTATAGCCCTTAAGATTATCATTGATACTAAGATTTTTAATATTATAAGTGCTTATGCTCCTTAAGTAGGTTTAGATACAGACTCTAAAGATAAATTTTGGAATAAATTAAAAGACTTAATACAAATAATACCTTTTGAAGAAAGAATTTTTATTGGAGGAGATTTAAATGGACATGTTGGTAGAGTGGTAGAAGATTTAAAAAATATTCATGGTGGCTACGGTTTTGGGGTAACTAATGAAAAAGGGAGAGCTATTTTAGATTTTGCTTTAACGTATAATTTTATTATTACTAATACTTTATTCAAGAAAAGAGATGAACATCTTATTACTTATAAGAGTGGATCTGATAAAACACAAATTGATTATTTTCTTATAAGAAGAAGAGATCGTCGCGATTGTAAAGATTATAAGGTCATTCCAAATGAAAATTTAAGTACCTAATATTGTTTATTAGTTTTAGATTTTAAAATTAAGAGTTGTAAAATAAAAAAAACTAGGACTCATCATCGTAGGATTAGATGAAGAAACTTAAAAGACGCAAATAAAATTATTTTTATGAGTAAAATTCAAGATTTTAAATTTTGGAATATTCATGAAGAAGCAAATGTTATGTTGAATAAAGTAACAAACACTAATAAACAATTAACAAAAGATGTGCTTGGAGAATCAAAAGAAAAAGTATTTACAAATAAAAATAGTTGGTGGTGGAATAATAATGTGCAAGAAAAGATACAATATAAAAAGTTATGTTATAAAAATTGGTTTAAATGTAAAAGCTTAGAGAATTGAGAAAAATATCAAACGGTCCGCAGGGAGTCTAAAAGTACGATCTTTGACGCTAAAAATTCTGTTTTTAATGATCATTATAATAAATTAGATACTAATGATGGTGAAAAATATATGTATAAACTAGCCA